TCGTTCTTATTTACATTCTCTCTACGCCGGAGACGCCGAGTCAGAAGTCTGGCTATCGTATCATATAATTCGTTCCCCCGATATCACCGATATCACCGATTTCATAGCATATTTAGCATGGGACATTGGGATTATTTTCTTTTAAAATGCGAATTATTTGCTCCGCACATTATTTAACAACTAATTATTTATTTAAGCTTTTGCAAATTCAGTAATTGCGTTTTAATTTAACTACCTAGAAGTGCAAGTGGATTGAAAATGGCGAATTGGCCAGATATCGGGCTGAGTGCGCTTCTATATATCGTGCGATTAATTTGTGTAGCCAGACCCAGCTCGATTGCACTTGCATACGGTGATGCTGAACGTCGATTTTGTTAACAAGCTGTACTACAGCTGCGCTACGTCACGATGACTCGCGAATTTATGATTATTTAATGCAGCCACGAGCAAAATGCGCCATCGCTTGCGATAATTTCATTTAGCCGTTAATGACCTGGATAATGTTGAACGATAGTAAATAAATTTTGACACGTTGGACATCTGCAATTAATGCATAAACAAAAATACGTTGTTAGCACTATCGAAATTATTTCTGCAATTGACACACAAACGAGAATATTTTATTAGTGCTACCGAATTATTAGAGCGCGCAGATCCAAAAAAAAAACAATTATCTTTTGACAAAACGAAAAGTTTAAGTTTAAAGAAGCTGTACTGTTTCTTATGGCGTAGAATTAATATTGTACACGGTTTATTTCAAGAATCATACAGAAATATTTAACGAAGGTTTTTACAAATACTTCCGGCGTACTGGAATTAGAAAATTGTAATTTGAAGTAAAGTGATACCAAGTCTTTTGCGGTAAAGATCCGATTTCCGAGATCAATTTTCGAGAGATTCGCAAAGCGATTCCGACGTGGATCAAAAATACACGCTCGCGTGTATCTGCGCGACGTATCTCCGCGCTCCCGAACCAGTCTCGGCGACCTTAATACGCGTAGACGACGTCCTCGCGGTATCCTTGAATTGTTCCGATACGGCTAAGAAAGAATCTCTCTCTCTCTCTCTCTCTCTCTCTCTCTCTCTTTCCCTCCTTTCTCCCTCCTTCCAGCAATGCTCGCACCGGACTCTGTCTTTTTCTCGTTATTCTCATTGTCGAAGTCGGGCCGCGATGCACAAGTCGGTCGCGTCTCGCCCGCGATCCTCATCCTTGGCCCAGCTTTATCTTTGACTTCGACCTTCTCGCCATCAACGCGTCACACCCGCGAAATTACGTGGAATTAATTGGCTTAACGCTTAAACCCGAATAAATGCTGGAGTACGTTCTTGCCACCGCCAACGCGCGATACGGGGAAAATTAGTAAACCTGTTGTTTGCCATTTCTGTGCGCCATGATTTCACGGGAAACTTGGCTGCTTGCGTTGCAACTTGAAGTACTTAGCGAGCGTGGCAACATGGAGAAACCGAAGGTCGGATTGAATTAAATTTAACGGGGGCGATTGTGTAAATGAAACTGCTCTAACGAATAACCCTCGGGGGGGAAGATTTATCTTTCTTTAACTTATATTATTTTTGGAACAAGGGAATTTTATTGATGAATTCCATTTGTCCGTCACATTTATTGACGAAGTTGAGTTTGAAACAAGGCATATTTTAATTTGATAAAAATCGAGAGGCTGCATATCAAATAATGGACAATCTAAAATATCCTACAGTTTATTGGATTATTAAAGTAATTATTTTTTTTTTTCGTGTATTGTAATATTCAACATGTATTTCAAATAATATTAAATGTGATTATCTAACTGATTTAAATCGAATTATTGTTAAATATGACTTTTGCCAGTTCGTATAATCTGAAATAATTTTGGTTGTTTGGATGTTTATTACGGATATTATGGAAGCGAAAAATATTACTCGATTCAATGCTCATAATGAATGTGTATCGCACTTCGGAGATATATATTTATATTAGTAGGATGATAATTTTTTCATTCTATGTGGCAAAATTGCTATTTGCAATGATTACCGAAGAATCATATTAAATGGTTAATGAATTCGACAGCAGCGGTTCGGTACTTGCCACGTATCGGTGTGCGCAAGCAGTAAGCACACCAATCGATTGTCGTATGACGTCATTCACAGAGACCGGCATTCGTCTTCAACTTTGGCCTTTTAACGCCCTGATATTCGATTCATGGCTTGTCTACACGTGTCGGCCAAATAATTGTGTTTTTACGAAGTCAATTAAATTGTGAAGTGTTGAATAAAATAAATTGCGCGGCAGCCCGATTTCGTTTTTCAGCTGCATCGTATAATACACAATATATAACAGTTAAATGTTTTACGATCAATGGTAGATTTATCTCTGAAAGGTTGTTCAAACATTTGTAACAAAATTTATATCACTTTGCAACTTTGGTTATTTACATTATTAATTACTTAATCTACATTACATTATTAATTATTTATTTATTAAAGGTTCATGAATATATTTCTCTTATAATTATTTAAATATGTATTATGTTATTACTTGTATAAATATTTTTGTAATTAATCAGTCAATGATCACAGAAGTAGCAAAATAATTAGCCGAATTCATAAAATTCTCTTAAATGTTGTGTATCAACATTTATTTCTTTAAATTTACTTTTGATTTTATAAATACAATTTTAATTCCGCTACACTGTTTACAGCTCATTAATAAATTTTACTTTAGACTTTAACAATATTTTTCTTTATCTTAGACCTTGCACGCGCTAATATCCGGTAAAGATTCACGAGAAAATCGGCGTTTTCTCGATTTATGCATTTGCGAACCTTGGTTTTCTACTTAAGCGGAAGGTATGATATTTAACGATATCTGACTGATAAAATTACGCAAGAAAATCGAATATGGACATAATCGACGATCACGTTGCGTATACATGTAACGCGTAAATTGGCGTTAAACGCAGCATTAAACAGGCATACTGTAATCAGAATTGTAAATTTATCGTTATTATAAACCGAAATTATAATTAGAGTTGTATATATAATGTCGGCTTATAATAGATATACAACTCTAAAATTGTAAAGAATGCTTTTCAATTTGACAACAAAAATATCTATTACAAGCTGAAATGTATCTTTAAATTTTTCATCTACAATTTAATCGCTTGTTTACCAGTTGTGCTATGTCTATATCTTGTTGTCATATTAGAATAGACGCAAAGCTAATACATATGCTTCTAACGGTAATCAATAATCGCAATAATCACAATAATAATAGTAATCGCGCTATCGGAATGTAGATACAAGCTTTATCATCAAATAATGGATAATCTAACAGTTTACGTCATAGAAATATAGGATATTGTAATATAGAAAATTAGAGAATTTACGAGCTGGCCCACTCGTCATGTTTATGATAAATTTTTGATTGGAAATGAATGAATTGTAGTAGATTCTGATCGCATCAGTCAGAATTCCGATTGAACATCTGGTTATCTCGATTAGAATTATAATAGATTTAACTATATAATTCTGATTTGTTTATTTTTGTAGAATTCGAATTAAAGCAATCAGACTTTTTTTTCCGGTTATCAATCCAAAAGATTAAAAAGACAGGCAAGAATGAATCGTGAAGAACAATTCTTTACGCAATAATATAACAAACATCAGTCGAGTTTATAATTAAACGCAATAATTAAACAAGACTACGTCAACTGTCGAGAAACAACTCGCACATGCTTTGTCCATCACGAGATCCCATCCGCTCGACGCGGCTCCAATCAGATCGCCACGAACGCGCTCGGATGCTGCGCCCATCTCTCCTCGGCGTGCGTGAGTACGAGCGAGGCGCGTTTAACCTACATAAAGTGGAATCGTGATTGGATGAAGTAAATGGCGAACGATCTCTTAGGATAATCGATCGATATGCAAGCACGGTATACTCTTCTCGCGCGAAGAAAGTTGATTTCGGTCGTTTATTTATTTGCAAAAAAAATAGAGCCAGACTATTGCAACGTGTGTGGTGCTCTAACTCGCGCTTTAGTGCTTTAGTGATTTACACGCATGATCCTTTGGCTTTGCGCACGCATGTTAGGTAGTCTCGCGCTGCAAGTTTGAAAATTTTTTTTATTAAGGGACTCCGAATTGATACGGCGCGAATGTTGAAAAATACATAACGCAAAGCTGAGGGATAAATCTGAACGAATGGGAGGATTAGAGAGACTCATCGTGGCTTACTCGCGCTCCCACGATTATGAACTATTGAAGTATAACGCTTTGGTATTATCCTATCAACGGTGTGATTCATGCTACTTTCCTATTAGCACTATAACACCCTTAACGTATCTAAAACTCTAAAAATCGCGTAGCGTAATTTTTGCAAATCTAAAATCACGGAAATTACATCGGCGTGCGTATAAAATCGTACTGATTGATAACGTATATACGTAGAGATTAAACAAAGATTGGAAAAGTATATATAACAATATGAAAATAAGGCTAAATATTGAAAATCATAAGATTCTACAATATATATTAAATATTTTGAAAATTAATAGCTTATTTTAAATTGGATTTACTGACATATGAGCATAATAAAACTTGTATTGAAATATAAATATACGAATCATGTGTAAACATATGTTCTTTAAAATATTTCACTGAAAAAAATTACTGAATTTTATTAAATATTTGTTTAAATAGTATTAACGAAATATTTCCTTACGGTAAATAAACATTTATTTTTAAAATGAAAAATTATATTTAAATAGATGTACGTTTACATTTAACAAATATTTCGTTAATACTATATTCAAACCAAATTTAATAAAATTTAGTAAATTTTTTTTCAGTGTTCGTATTATAAAAACTGTAAAATATTCACTGTCCAAAAATATCTCTTATAACGGAACGGCAAGATCGTACAGCGGGTTTACAAGGCAATATTGAAAATTAGAAGTGGAAGACGATCAGTTAGGAAAGTGCAAACGCTGCTCTTTTATTCACAGGGTATTATCAGCCGGCTGGTCCACTGATACAGCACCCACCACCACCACCACCAACCTTACCACCCATTAAGGGCCCACCTCCAGAACCGACACCCACGCCTCCTCAAAACTCAGAGGGTTCGGACGACCTGGTCGCCACTTCCACAACTTCGGGAGGCACAAGCAGTACGGGTATGTTACTAATAATAATTAATACGTAGTAATATACTATAATTAAAGAAACGTTGCAAAAAGAGAATCATCACATTATTTTCTTTTAGAAAAAATTATTTAATATCGAGATTTTTTACATATTTTTGTATTAACAATTTGATATTTTTTTAATTTTTTACAATTTATTAATATGTAAAAATTTCCTTAACTTTCTTACACAAAAAGCATCCATTTGTAGTTAAAAAATACTGTTAGGAGCTTAAAGAAAAAGTGGATGTCTCTCTTTCTTGCATTTTTCGATATTATAAAATTGAAAAAAATTAGAAATTTAGAATAAAATTTACAGTATCTTTCTACAAATTTTATGATTGCAACAATAATAACTTAAATAACTTGATAATGATATATTGAAGTGATAAAATAGATTAGATATTTTTGAGTTGAGATTAGATATTTTTTTAATTCTCTTAGAACTTTTATTTCTCGTAGAAATCTTTCTTCTTCGATACTAACAAATATATCAATGATATGTTTAAATAAATTTTGAGAGAAAAAATTTAAAATTATAAGATAATTGTATAATTGGACGTGTAATTAATGTATATCTTATAAGACCATTTCTGCATGTCATTTATCAGACAGTTTTACTATCTCGATTCATCAGATAGATTTGCCGCTTAGGTAAATGTCGTCATACGTCTAGGGCAATATATCGTATAGATCTATACGGATCTGGCATTTACATTAATGATCTTATCGTGCAATGCTTAACATGGTTATCTGTACTGGAAATGCATTAATGAGTAGTCATGCAGGTGCATATTAAGATTAAATATAAGTGGTGCATGAAGGAAAACGTCGAAAAAAAAATCGTAGCTTTCGACCTTTCATTTCTTCGTTTTCTTTTATTTCGCGTCACTATAATTTTTTTTTTCGCGTTCTATATTCCGTCAGCAATTTTTAGATTCTTTTCTTGTGAATTTCCGCGAAACGAATCGCGTTACCAAAATTTATGAAAATTCGCTGACAGTGAAAACGGGATCCCTTGTGTGACGCAGATCTTAATGGAAATTCTTTCTTCTACGTGTCAGAAATGGATTATGAATATGTTATATAAAAGCGGCACGCCGCATTATCATGGAAAAAAGTGATGTGCATTAGCCGTTTTTAAGTAGGAACAAAAACGTCACGTCGGTTTGAGATTAAACCACGAGAGCGTGTATTCTCCTGCGTTTTTATGCGTGCAAATGGTATGTCGCACTACGATATTAACGTATTATAAGCGACTCTAAATCATGCGATACATTGACGTGAGCGCAGGGCTAATAGCGCGAGCACTCACGGGCTTAATTGGATGCAGATATCAGCCTCTTCGATAATATAGCGCTCACTACCTTCAAGCGCTATATCAAGATCTCAAGTATATAGTATACTTGCCGGTACAAAGATTTGTCCTTCGGTACTGATAGTTCGGTACTATCACCGTCAGATATGTGTAAACTTGAGAGTGAGCTTTCTTTAAATAGAATTGTACTTTTGCAATTATATTATACATATAACTAAATTATATTGAAATAAATTTTATCATAGAACTTTAATCACATGCCTTATTACTTCATTAGATACCTAAACAGCTATTTGCCTGACATCATCTTAATTATTTATTCTTTCTTTTGGAGATTAATCTTTTGTGGCATTTATAAATATAATATTTTCTTTTAACAAGTAACGCGGGCAAATTATTCAGCGATATCCCTTAAGAGGATTTTAAACTAAAGACCAAACTCCAATAGGATTGCTGGTTGAATTCAATGGTATATACATACATGCGTATACGATTTACATGATATTAACACTATTACGAACTATTACATCAATACTGTATATATATATAATTATAATATAAATTTTTATAGAGAATCGTTTTATTTTCGTATCGAACTATAAATACTTTATTTGAAAATCTTGAAGCTTTCTCTTCGTATAATCTACTAGTTTGCCTTTAATTTCGTAAGTCTAAATTGTAGAGCTTTTAAATGTATCAAGCAAATCTTGACAGTTCTATATACACGTCATATTCAACTAAGAAATGATCAACTAAGAAAACATCTCAATTTCAAACATTTTGTTTCTGGCATAAATTCCACGCTACAGATTAGTATTAATGCGCATATTTTAATTCTAGAAAAGGATTTTTTAATCTGTAAAAGTAATATATGCGATCCTTTACGAAAATTATATTATATTTAATTATTGCGTTTAATTTATCATTTAGTTCCAAATAGTCGGCTTTAGAATTCCCTTAATGTTTTGTGAAGTAGAGCATTGTAACTGTTAAACGAATATTTGAAGTTTTATTTGTCGTTTTATGAAATTGATCATCGTACATTCAATGGGGATACGCATAGGATGAATGAACGGTCATTTGTTTCAGGTGGAGGCTTTTATAGGACATATTGTCCGCAGTACTACGGCACGCCGCAGTATCCGGATCTGTGTTATCCGCCGACGTATCCTCATCCTCACCCTCATCCGCCGCATTTCTACAAATACCCGCCCACTTACAGAAGGTACAAGATTTATTCGCGTTCGACGCTTTGCATGATGACGCGAATAAGGAGGTTGAGAGATACCACTTTGAAGAATGGCATATGCGCCATTCCGTTGTTGTAGTAACATTATCGAGAATCTGTTTTCGTTGAGTATATATGACATGTATTAACCCTAAAGATAATTATTACATAATGCTGGTAACACATTGTTGCGTTAGAGCGTTATATTAGCTTTTTAGAAACCAAGCTAATCTCTATTTTTTTAATTTTTTAGAGCATATATGATTAACTTATTATTTTATCAGGTCTTTTTATTTCATGAAGTTGATCAGTTTGGTTTCTGAAAGGCTCGTATATGAAAAGTGATAGTTATTTTATTAAAACGTTATCGGGCGCCGTCATGTTTTTTTTCCGTGATGATAACTCACTTCTTTGAATAGGTGTTTGTAGAATTGATAAATGTTCATAACGCTATTTATAAATATTGAATTGCACAGTATGTACAATAAATCAAACGCGATTGTTGTTGTATTAAACATTAACGATCGTAATCATTTTGTACGAAAATTGTTTTCGCTTATCTTTATAATCATAATCATGCGCGATTTTAAACTAGCTTTGACAAAAGAGGTAAAGATAGTAGGAAAGTAGCACATAGAAATTTTAGTTTTAGCGTATTTTTAATCTCTGTTATGAAATAAATTGGTTACATGTACGATATTGACAAAACCATTCCATAGTATTGCAGGCTGCATTATCCAAATTGTTTGAGAACGTGTATAAAATAGCATGTAAATTTAGTACTTTTGTTTCACTTGCACACGATATTTGCACATTGTTATTTTGTTAAATATTGTTATAATATTCGTCAGTTTTAGTAACAAACATCTGCAAACGTTTTAGTAATAAACAGAATATCTTGTCGCATTGTAATACATTTAGGTCACAGATGGTGCTAACTTTCCGAAACCGTCGTTATCTCGTTTTTAATGGAGAAGTGAAAGCTGCAACTAGACCGTAGTAAAGTTGGTTTTTGCTGCAAAAGTCGCGGAAATTAAATAGTAAATTTTAACATGCACAGTAACTTTTTAATTATTTGTTATTGGCTTATAAAGATATTTTAATATTATGTGTTCTTGAAACTAAATCACAAATTTTTAAAATAAAATGTATGTATTGGAATTCAATTATAGATAATTTGATCAAATTAATTTGTAAAAAAAATCCGTACAGCTGTATCTCTTCCAATCGAATCTGATATTATTAGTGCTGATATTTTCGTCACGGAAATGTTTGTTCCAAATCGATTGAAGAATTATGTATCGATCAAGAGAATTATGCGGACGACCTGAATATTTCTTTCGACTATAGATTTAGAATTCTTGCAGCGATCGACTCAAGTTTGTTAAATCCGTATATGTCTTGGTGCATGTCAAGGTCTCCCTTTTCTGGTAACTTTCATCTCGTTATCTGCAGATAATAAGAACCAATATGAGCAGATCGGATATTCATATTTGCTTGGATTGTCAATGCATTTCATAAAGGAGGGTATACTTTTCAGGCAATACTATGGCTATCAAGAGTCCGGTGGGGGTGGTGGACCGCCGCCAGGCAGCGGTGCTGCTGGAGGTGGCCCTGGAGTCGTTGATTACCAGCCACCTCCGCCACCGCCAGGCGAATATCCGCTACCCTATTACGGGGGATATCCTCCGCCCCCCCATCCGCCGCCGCCACCTCCGAATCCAGCATATCTGCATTCTCAGGGAAGACCTTTCGTAGACCGTAAGTATTATCATTTACTAAAAGAGAACTACGTGACGTTCCGCAAGGACAGAAATTCTATCTCGTTTTCTTCCCGTCTCTCCTGTTCCTCTTCCTACTTTTACTTAGATTTTTTGAAATTTATTCAATTAGAAAATCACACCGACAAATTTGATACGATATTAATTGATATGTATTTTTTCGACACAAATTTTCAAACTTCTGAGTTTAATAAAATTTATATATATATACGTATTTTTTTATATTAACAAATTGACATACTCTCTTTTAAAATCAATTTTTAGAACAAAGTGGACAGAAATGTATCCGTATTTTTTAATTGTTGTTTGAGATACATAATATTATTGTTCTTTGAAATACAACTTTATTGCAATTCTAATATAAATTATTATTTATTAAAAATTGTCGCTCGTATCTTTTGAAAAATATATTTTTTCGCATAATAAGATAATATTACATTTAATTGATGATCAAATTATTTATCGGCTAGAAAATTTTTAGAATTATAATTAATTTATTCTAATTTAGAAGTTTAGAAGTTTTTTTATTCACAATCAAGACTGTGAATAAAAAATTCTTAATTTTTTAAATAGCTGAAAGAGATGATCATTTTGATTATTATAAGTTATTCTATATATTAATTAATTACTGTATCACGTGTAGTGTTATACATAACCAAAAATTAGTTGTCATTTTTTCCTATTGTTTATCATATCAAAGAAAAGAGTAAAAAAAGTCTATAACTTTCGCTAATGAAAATTAATAACATTCGCAGTAAGTCAACCACATTTTATCATCCAAATATTCTTTACATAGCTAAGCATGTCAACATATTTTTTTGCAAATAAAAATCTTCTATTTATCTATTATATTTCATTTCTATATTTATATATAATACATGTATAATATGTACATTTATATTTGTATAAGTCGCCACTGCTCTTACTCATATCGTTAATTTAACTAAAATAATAGAGTTAAGAAAATATATTAGAGATCGAAATTTAGTTTATTATTTACTAAATGCACTTTGAGAGATATAGACACTATTTATTATACTTTGGAACTAATCATAGAAATGGATTGATTTATATTTTGATACTTATGGAAGTTAAAAATAATAAATTATTTAATTCGAGAGATTGGGTCACTCATTTTTTTTTTTCTGACTTCTACAATATAAATGCTGAAGTTATCCTACAGACGCGAACGAGTTCTACTTTGAGAAATAATATTAATTCAAACTAATACGAGCTGTATTCAAATTGAGTTAAATCTTGTGCATTTAATCGTAAAGCATCGCGAGCTTCCTTATCCGGATACTCCGATAGAAACGATACGGCATTCACCGATCCCGTTTGTGCCGCAGCCTTTCAGGGTTGTCCATGCCCGATGCAATCGTGTCCAAAAAACGTGGATACTGGGGCCCTTATTGGTAATGGTAAGGGAGCGCCAGTGGTATCGGGGCCCGGTCTGTCATTGCCACCCAGTGCTATGGTAGGTCCGCCCTCGCCGGCGAGGGGGCTAGCCGGGCTAGCTCCCCCTCCCGGTGCCAATGCCTGGGATACGGATCGCGTCCAAATCAACACTCATCGCAACCTAAATCAGAACCAACCCCCCTCGGTCCCGCCGTCACACAATCTAGTCGGTGGGCATAGTCGCCTTCAAAACCAAGACTGTAGGAGTAAGGTATGTGTTTCATCGCTCTTACACTTATTATCAACATTTTGATGATCATCTCCGATTACTTTGATTTCCGACCGATCCTGAGGCAAAACGTGCAGATAAAAAAAAAGACACGTGCATTTATTATAAATATAATTGCATTTGATGACAATATTTAGCGAAATATGCGCTATGCAAATATTTTTGCTCTAACGATTAAAAATTTTTATATTGATTATTTTGTGATAATATACTACATTGGAAATGAAATATCTGCAAATACAATTCCAATTAAGCAAGACTGAAATATTATTTTATTTATTCCTGAAACTATTTTTTTAATACGATAAATAATTTTTCATTTTCTTGATAATGACACTTGGCAACAAAAAAAATATTATTCCGAAAATAGTACTCTAATATGGGTGTATAAATATTTAGATTTCATATTTTGTATACAATTCTATTAGTCTGAATAACTTGTTTGAATTCAATAAATTTATCGGATATTTCGATTATATGAAGAGAAAATCAAACATTTTATTTTCATCTCGATATTATATTGTAACTAAAAATAATAAAAATAACGATTAAATCAAAAGGCCACAAGAGCCCGTTTTTTCAAAAGCTCACAGATTTGTTGCGCGATTGTGTAACCGGTGTAACCCGACGAATTTCCTTTCTGCCATCCCCGCAGGACGAGCAAAATTGTACAGAGGATACATTGAGGAAATGCGGTTGTCAGAACGCGTGTACGTCCACTTGCGAGGTCAAGATGGAAACGCTATCGCCCACTGAGAAACTGTCCGTGACAGCGAGCTGTCCCAGCAGCAAGTATCACAATTTCAAGTTGGAGAACAACAATGTCAAATGCGAATCCTGCAGTATGGAGATTGACGGGTTGCCGTGCGTCGCCAATTGCAACGTCGTCAAGTGCGAGTCGGATTACAAGTGCGATATCATGAAGTGCGAGCAGTGCATGAAGGAGGGACAGATAGCGATATTGGAGATGGACAAGGATTCTGGTATCGTGCTGGACGACAAGCTCGACGGCGATCCTGACGTGAAGGAGGAACTGGACGTAGTGGTGATCGACAGCGATGAGAACTGGAAAAAGCCTGATTACGAGCCGACCGTACAAGAGACCGTTGACGATAAGGAGGAGGAGGAGGAGGAAGAGGATGAGGGCGAAATGGAGGAAGAAGTCATGCAGGGATCGATTGTGACCAAGGTCGAAGCTGAAACTGAGGAACAGCCCAAGTGCCAAAAGGTGACGAAGAGGAAGCTTTCGCTGGATAGCTTATCGGATAGTAGAAAGAAGAGGAAACTTAGTAAAAGGGCTTTATCGGTGGGCTCGTCCCAAGATGCGAATAACGAGGAATTGACCAATGTCATTGCGATCGAGCCACTACCGAATAAAGCCGATAGCGTAAGAACGGAAACGACTACCTCGAAGAAGAAGCAAACGAAGAAGGACGTAGGACCCCGAGGCCAAAAGCGCAAAGCGGAGACGCCGAGTGCGAATGAGAGCGCGACTAAAAAGGTAAAGAGCGGCAAGCAGAGCATCGTGAATTGCTTAAAACGAACCGCCAGTGATATTTCAATAATGGAGACTATCAATGATGTGATACAGCAGAGTCTACAGATGACGCAGAGGAAAGATCGCAAAAGCAAAAACTGTGAACGCGTCGAAAAGAAGAAGAAGAACGTCAAAGAGGAATCATTGCCGACGACGAAGAAGCCCGCGAAGAAAATCGATCAGGTGAAGGAGCACACTATTGAAAAAGTGTCAAAGGCTGTTTCGAAGAATGGTCAAGCCAAAAGTAAAACGGACGCGAAGCCTCCGAAACTGAAGGCTTCTCAAGATGCTAAGGTCAAGGTTTGTAAAAGCAAAATTGGCAAAATCATGGAGACGAAGGCGCAGGATATAAAGTCTAGGTCGCAGGATTCAAAAGCGCGGGACAGTTCGAAGAAGCGTGATATCTTGTCCAAGACCAAAGCGAGTGATGTGAGTGAAGATCCGAAAAAGTCAGCTGTAATTAAGAAGAAGCGGAAGACAGCAGTAAAGAAGGTGGCAAACGCCAAGAAGTCGGGCTGTAAAGTGGAGAATTCCTCGCTTGGAAATGAGAGTCTGACGTTAACGAGAAAAACGTTCCTGAAACCGAAGTGGAACAATGGATGGAGCTGGGAGGGAGAGCCCTTTGAAGCCAAAGTTTATCTAACGGTAAGAATAATTAAACCTTGATACTTCTGGTCTGAAGATTTTATTCAAACCTTGATACTAATTGAGGAACCAGATTCCTATTATCACAACATAACAGTAATTAGACAAGAGAAAATTTTGTTGTTACTGTAAAACAAAATAAACCTAGATTTTTTTGTTTTTTTATTGTGACTTGCCATTATATATATTTCGATAAATTTAGAACAATATAATTGATTTAAAATTTAAACTTCTATATATAGCTTTATGTAAATAATATGGTAAAGAAAAATTCAAGCTGTCGATATAATTGTCTTTTTAAAAAAGATATGCAAATTTTGCGTAATTTGCTGAATAATGTTATTTGATTAAATTAATATAAGGATTAAATGTACGCGCCGTTCACTTCAAGATAAATTCAAAATAATTTTGATTCGCGTCTGAGTTTGCTACAATCATAAATGGATCTGCATGTTTTACATGGAACTTTATATAATAATTACTTGCCATATGATATATTAGCCATTATTTGTTAGTAAGTTTAGACAATGATCCGCTGTGGATAGAATCTGATAGAATTTTGAAATGTATTGTCTTAGAATGAAGAAACAGCTATACGGCGATGTTACGCGAGTATGAATCACGAGAGCGGTGACGTATTGCGGCCTCGGGACTGCGTATTGCTGAGAAGTGGTACGCGAAAGGGTGATTTGCCGTATGTTGCGAAGATTGCGGCGCTGTGGGAGAATCCGGACGACGGTAGATATCCTCGATTGTGAGAAATGCAGAAACTCTCCTTTAGATTTAATGAATTAACATCATGATATTCTGCTTTTAGGCGAAATGATGTTCTCGTTGCTGTGGTACTACAGACCTGAGCACACAGAACAGGGACGGACGCCACACGATAGCGAAGACGAGGTATTTGCTTCGCGTCATCGGGACGCAAACAGTGTCGCTTGCATAGAAGACAAATGTTATATCCTAACGTTTAACGAATACTGTCGGTAAGTAACTTTCTCTACTGTGATATAATGCAATTTAATTTAATATATATTATTTATCATTCCCTGAGACTACAAGTCATAACGTACATTGATATTAATGACAACCTCATAGTTTTTCATTAAAATATTTTAACTCCTTTCAACCCCTTCATTAATCTCTTATAAACAAATATATTGGATGAAGTTCAGGATTAATTTTATTAATCAGCCACTCCATACATAGAGTGGTTACATTTATTCTAAATTTGGTTTACTATTGTTTCACGAATATAGATTTTTTAAAAAAAACCTTTGAACATTTCGTGTGGATTATTAATTTCTTTATGTAAACTTAACGACAAATTATATTTATAATTGATCGTTAATTTATGTAAAAGCTTTTTTTGAGCTTTATAATGTACATTTTTTAAATTTCTCTAGTAATAAACTAATATAGAAGCATGGAAACTTTTATTGAAGTTAATATTGAAAAACATAAATTTTTTTTTTCTTTTAACCAAGCAGGATCGGATTATCTACATTGCTGCATATCGTTTTTATGTTATAGGTATCGTAAAAACTTACGGAGAATCGAAGAGGGCTTAGAAAATCCTGGCTTGATAGTTCCGCCAGGGGACCAAGTGTATCCAAGAGAGAATCGACAGCCTCCTATACCAGTACCATCAGACATGGTGCTTTTCTGCCGACGTGTTTACGACTATCGCGGGAAGAAACTCGTGAAGAACCCTGGATGACTCGAATTCTTGTAAGATGCAAACCGAGGAAGCTTGGGTCACACATTGAAACTGGCCGCAGGTCTCCTTTCAAGCATAATTACGCTGTTGATCGATTTATCTTGATTTCGAGGGGTGACGAGATCCAATTGTTTTTGTAACGAATTATCAATACCATGAATACACATATCCACACACACACACACACACACACACACACACACACACACACACACACACACACACAC